CTTCTAATGCCAGATTCGTTTTGTTGTTTTTTCAACAATAACTAACAAATCTACCCTCTCTCAAACCCAACTGTCCTCTCCCACAACCTTCCTACTTCCATTTTACATTTTAAATTCATATCGTTTTATTTTTCCCAACCAATCTGAATCATGGTATTTTGCGAGTCGTGCTTCATATTATCATTATTACATGACAAACCTCAGATTTTGCCCAACACGTACCTTAGTAATTCCTGTACTAATAATATTACTTAACAGCTTTAAACTGTTGAACGAAATACACACATTCCTACCTAGTTTCCTTTACGAATAACATTTAACATCACAGTTACCGTTTTCTTACATTACTACGTATAAAAAAGGTTATCTCATCATGTAAACTGTATTTAAACAATAACATGCTAGTTGATAAACGTGTTATATTTATACAAACCTCCACGACATTTGTAAAAATGGGGGTTTACCGTTTAGGTCATCTTAGTTGTACCTTTAGTAAAGTACGGTTGTTTTTGTTCCATCTTACAAATACGATATAGAATTATATAACATCTGGATCTGCATATCAGATGAAGATTAACTAATAATATGAAGTTTTGAAACAGCTGTTTATGGGATAATAGATTCATGCCTATACAACATCTCATCTCTAATAGTAAAGCATGATCTCGTACAACATTTAAAGTATAAGTACATTAAATTGGGTTTATGATACTGGCTTTCTCTGGTAGTCAACTTAATACAAATATAACAGTGCTTCTAATGTTTTATTAATGTTAGGTTTAATTCTTCCAAGTTTTTACTTTTTTATGCGTTTTTCTCTATATTCAATGCTTTAACATTTTTAAAGTTTATTTCATGATGTTTTTCAGTTATATGTTCATTTACGTTTGACTCTTTTTGTTTTTCACGTTCGCATCCGATCATTATCTTCTTACCTGTTTTTTCTATATACATACTTTCACGGTATAAACATTTTAATTTATACGCTGTACCAATTTCCATATTTTTCATTATTATGTAGCTTCGGTAGATAACTTTTAATATTTGTACAATAAGCTAATTATTAGTATTAGTGAAAAATACAAACATGGGTCAAATGTTTTCAGACAGTTTGGTGAGATTGGGTAAATATTACATGTTCATAAATATTTGTTTATAAAAATGTTTGTGTGAGTGACTAAGAGAGATCCATTCTAAGTAACTAATTTGCATCCATCTAGTGATAGCAGAAATATACAAACGTACACAGCTAAGGAAGCAAATATCATGATTATATTCATAGCAGTCTTTTCAATGTGAAACACATTGGTAATTTAGCTCTGAGGTTTTTTAACATTCCATTTCACCGATTGCAATTACCTGATTGAAAGGTTTGTTATTTTCATAGGTTGGAGAAAGATGAACTTCCAGAAAAGAGATTTTTTCTTCGTGATTCTGTTCTCACGTAAGCTAAACCTATATTTTTGTATTTTAATATTTATTTTCGTCCATATTTGAAGACATTTTTAAATCATTCAACACATGCCACAAGTGATAAAATGAAGATAAACTGCAAGGTGGAGATCTTAATATTCATACAAGCTTTAAAAGATATTTGGGATCATATTATTATGTGTAATATATATATGTTTTTATTCAATTTTGAATTTTATGAGAATAATACTCCCTACTATTAGTACTTATTTGCTTAGATGATTGAGTAGGTTGATCTTACATCAAATTAATTTTCTTTTCTTGTTTATGAAGTTAGTTTAAGTTTATTTGTAGGGCCAATGTTATTCTTAAATTATTTCTATTTTTCAATCCCAGTCGAGGGCTAATTTATGTTTCTGGTAAATAGTGTATCTGATGATACGGTACACTACCTCCCCTCATACAAATAGCTATTCTCCTTCAATGCTGCCCTCTATCTGCAAATATTTTTTCGCATGCCACAAGTCTTGAGCTCCCACGTACTCTATGTTCAATATGGTTCAACTGCATCTTGCATGTAAATAATCATGCGACAACCCTCCACCAATAGGAGTGTGACACACCCTTCTGGTGCATGTGACTCTATTCGATTATATCAACTATTACTTCTCATTTGATAGTGCTCATGTCAAGACGTTTTTTGTTGTGCCATTCAATCGTGTTTTTTATTTAAACTTAGTGCATTTTTTGCCATTCATTATGAAGTGGGATTGTTCTTTTCAATATTCCAACAGCTTGCGAATAACTCAGCTATTGAATCATCGGCTCTCAACCGCTATGAGATTGATTCATCATACGAGTTAAACTGCTTCTCCTGAATTTGCCCATATTCCCATATACTGCCCAAAACTGTTTGGGCTGATGAGGAATTTGACAGCCTTTTTCCTCCAACTGATTTTGCTGTGTCTTCCCATGCCCCTAATGTAGAATCAGCTAGGCCTAATACGACATTTTTATACATGACTTCTCAGGTGTGTTCTTTTTTTATCCATTTCCTCATTTCCTTAAATAACCCCTTCCTTCTTAGTTCCATGATACCATCTCCTCTCGGTATTTTGTGTTCTCCCTCTCCCGGATGTTATGGTTCATTCAGAGCTTTTTGTCTCTCAGTTAGTTGAGGGTGCTAGCATGCCTCGCCCTCTACAGGCTTAAGGTCAAATTTCTTTAGCATACTTTCAGGCTGAATTTCCATTTCTTGATTCTCAACAATTTGAATCACTTTTGCCCATGTGGAGACGGAGCCTTATCATCATGTTCGTTTATCTCATTCCCAGTTTTCCTGCTTTTTTCTTACCCTATTAACTCTCCTACAGTGCTTGTCTACTATCTACCTCCTTTCTGAGGTGCTCCACCACGATCCTAAGGGTTTTTTGAGGGATAGCCTCTTCCTAATTACCTCCACATTGGCAAGTTTTTTTTTTTTGTCTCTTTCCTTACACATGTGGTTTCTCTGTTGTTGGTATCTTCTGGGGAGGGATGCTGTATTGTCCTAAGTTCGTTTATCACCTATTTATCTCTGGGACTTATGTATGGGCCCCTTTTCTCTGGTGGTCTGTTTTCAGAAATAATCCTGAGAGTTTGGAATCCCGTGTAGAAATGGGTGAGACAGCAATCGACCTTTTCATCTTTGGTGGATCGTTTGTCTCATTCTGAGCTCAGACAAGCCTCTATTACTGTTTTACACCCCACTCCTTCCCAGCCCTTACCATTTCCTACGTCCACCAGTTCCTCCTCTCATCATGGGGGCTCGATTGAATGATTTTGTTCCTCTATTGCGAGTTTTCGCCACATATCAGTGGATTATTTGGGTATTATCCAATGAACTTGTCAACCACTTCTTTCCCCTCCTCTGTTGTCTCCGGTACCTATAGCTTTCCATTGCCTTGGGATCCCACCACCAGTCAATGCCTGCTAGAGTGGTACAAAATCTTCTCTCCCAAAAAGCCATTGAACTTGTAACTCATCCTTCTCTAGGTTTTTATTCCAGGCTGTTTGTGGTACCCAAGAAAACTGTGGACTGGTGGTCTGTGATCAATTTGTCCAACCTCAATAACTTTTGTTTCTGCCCTGATTTACCATGGAGTTTTTTCTCACCCTCAAGCGGGCTTTTTCTTCAGGTTTATGGATGACCATGGTAGACGTCACAAATGTTTATCTGCATATTCCAATATCTCGTCTGTTGAGGTGCTATCTTTGGTTTGTTCATCATGGGTTAGTTTATCAATTTTGCACCCTGCCCTCTGGGCTTGCTTCAGCCCCATGTATCTTTTGTCGATGGTGTCAAGGCTTTTGCCAAACATATGTATGCTCGGGGTTATGCTTACACCAGTACATGGATGACTGACTTCTTTTAGCTCATTCCAAACAGGAGTCTGCCCATCACTCCCATCTGCAGCTCCTGGAGGCAGCTTGAGTGGGTTGGTTAAGCAAGTTGGAGATCTTGTTCATTTGGGTGTTTTTAAAGCTTATTTCAGTCAGGCCCAACCTTTTCTCCTTTGATCCATTCAATGGAGCTTTCAGTTCTCCCCACCCTTACTGCTCCCTCTATCATTGCTTGTGAGGTTTTATCACTTTTGTGGATATAGTCTTCTATGGAAGCCCTTATCATCTGGCAGCCTTGTCCCATACCTTCAGTTTTTTTTTCAGATACTGCAGAGTTTTACCTCACCTCTCCGTACTATGTTCATACATTCCTTCTGGATTAGTCGCCCTCCCTGACTACCTTCCATTCCGACCTGGAATATTAATGTGATTTTTTATTCCCTCACTTTACCTTCATTTGCATCACTTATCTCGTGTTTCATGTTTCACCTTCCCTTCAAACATAATTCTTTCTCCTCTATGCCTGTGTACGTCAGAGGTCGGATTTGTTTCCCGTGATGTTTCTCGTACATTTTTCTCACTCCCTCTCTTCTCCTTTATCCGTATCTTTCTACCCAAGACATTGGTGGCTAGGGGAGGTAACTCCTTCTTTTGCTTAATTTCCTTCCTTTCATTTCCCATCTTTATCCTTGTCCCAATCAGGATAGAATCCCATGTATGGTCTGTGCTCTTCATTGTTCTATTGTCCATATGGCTTCTTTCCGTTGTGACTGCTCCTGCCTCTTTATTTCTAGGCAGTTTTCCTTGAGTCGAGATCTTTCTCCTTCCACCCACACCAATTGTGTTCAGCTTTTGATCCCATTAGCTTATTCCCTTTTGTTGTCTTCCTCCTGAACTTTGCTCCAGGTGTCTTCTCATCAGATTTGACATCCTTACCTTTTCCCTGGCATCTCATCTTCATCAGTCATTGGGGGAACTCCTACATTCGGGCATGAGGAATACACCTAATATGTTAGTCTCCCCTTATCTACACCATATTCTGGTTTCTTCCTCGTTGGATATTCGTATACCACCTGTACCCGTTTTTCATACTTCGGCTGGGTAAGTTTCTATTCATTATTTGTTTCCTTTCAGGGGCCCTTGCTTCAATTGAAATATGCACTGTACAGCCATGTTAAATTGTGCTCTCTTACATGGTTTTGCAATGCTCCCTGGTGAGATGGGGTGTTCCACAAGATCGCTTGAAAGTGAATAATCTCGTGATGTTTTTACTTCATAAACATGCCCATTCCGGACTGTAACACCCATGGACTGCATGAGTAAAGCAAAAGGGGATAGCTGCCCATCCCTGCTATGCCTTGATTGAATAAATTGCTATGGTATGCTTTTCAAAATAGTGTTACGCCTCCATTCGTTAGTTAATTTTCCGTATAATTTCTTTCCGAAGAAACTTTACCGATACAAGTCCTTTCTTAAATAAAACTGGTTTATTCTTTCTAAATACAACTTTGCAATACACTTAATTTCCACAGTTACGCTATAGCAAACGCGATAATTCACAATGAACGTCTCACGTGCTCGACTCAACAATACGTCTCTCTCTGTCCGCAGT